AAGGTCCTATTAAGGTCAAGATAGGTCATTCCAGATGCAATAGAATTTATATACCGATGTACCTAGAACATTTTATCTTACTGGTGACAGAACCTATGTACAAAACAAACGAAAAAAATATATATCAGTAGATATATACACATTAGAAATGAAAGAATAAGAAATTTCATTAGGAAATTACATAACGGAAAAATAACTGATCATAAATATGGCCATGAATTATTGTTTGCCCAGTTTCAGGTTTTTGAGTTAATCATCACATAACTTCCCTTTATAAAAGCTCAAAGAAAATCAAATGATGTAACATCTTGCACACGAACGCAATTACATAAAATTATATAAATAGCAAGAGAGTGATATATATCAGTTATTGAATATCTTAATTTCCAAACTATTGTAATTTTATCATTCAACAAATTCGAATTTGTATAAAGTTTTATATATTTTCAACTGGTTTGTAGAACCATTCGAATTACCTAAACACGCGGTGCTTATAACACCGTTCGCAGACGGCAGTTCTGGATTTTGATTTCCAACTGTACCAGGATTTTGCTTGACGGAATTAACATTTAGTCCAAATAGCCACGGGTATAATGTCAAAAATGGCCAAGAAATTGACAAAATCGTAATAAATAGTCATCCGGTTTATAGACTAAGCTGTCGGCCGTACGATACACCGCACGCGCCTCGACCAATCAGACCCTTGTTTTCGTCTGACGTCATCGCCTTCCTGAGCCTCGATTGGCGGAGGCGTCGGGGCTGGTGGAGTGAAGGAGCAGACGATGATGTAACGTGAAAGCCTCCGGAGGTTCTAATTCTCTCCCCTTTTGTGATGATCTTTCGCCCGAGAGTCTAAGGAAGGGAGACCATGGCGCACAGACTTCTGACGGCGGCCAGGAGGCTAGACAGGCTGCTGCAGAAAGTTAAGAGGACGGGTTCCGTAGACCCCAATGCGGTGAGTAAAGTTTCCTCTGGGAGAAACTTTACGTTTGGTTATAAATGTTATTTTTCCTATTCAAGAACTCGGAAAACGTTCCTTCGTCGTCATTACGTTAATTTAGGTGTTTGTATTTTCAGTACGATGAGGAACAGCGAAAAATAGTCCAGTGTTAATTGGGATTAATGTGCCGTAGTTTAGGGTGTGTTGCATGCATGTTGATTACATTTCATATGATCAGTCTTGCAACTTGGGAAATTGGAAGGAAAGATTGCTTCGTATTATCAATAACTGACTTTTCCAGTGTCTATATTGTTGATAAAAGACTCGAAAAGTCAATTTCATGTACGTAGTAGCCGTAGTAGATGATGCAAATTCTTAACTTGACGTTACCTAACTTCACGTGAATGGATATCCCAGCTGAAGTTCAGAATTAGATTGCAGGGACAGAGAGATCATAAAGTTTATGACTGAAGATTAATAGGGGAGGTTTGTTAGTTTATGAGTGAATGGTAAGTGTGGAGGAGACAGCCTTTTTTAGATGGCCTGTTCTATTGCGACAAACTTAAGTAATTTCAAGGAAGAATGATGAAATAGTAGGAGGGTACTTTCATTGTAGACTATATAGATTATGAGAAAAGGTACCATCTCTTTGAGTCTTTAATGATTATGGTCGAACTTTACGATACTTACGCACATATCAGAGACTAAGTTCCCAACTCTGCTTTTTTTTCCATTTTTTCTGACGCTGTCATTTGTATCTGCAGATTATTTTTTGTACCAATTGCTGCGATTTTTTGTCCTCTACAAGAATGTTCTCTTCAATTTGCCCTAGCGTAATCTGTCCATACTGTGGAGATCAACCATGATTATACTCTGGGCTTTCCTCATTCTCTGCCATGTAATTTTGTAAATGAAATGAACTCCCTGACATGAAAGGTCTTAATTGTAAAGCCCTATTGCATCTTATTCATTGTATCAACTATAGTCAAATGAGCTCCATTTGTAATATATGTCATTCATGAAACCTCTGTCTGTTTCTCGTTTCTTAAAATTATTGTCATTTTCACAATACTACTATTGATACAAAAGGGTGTCTTCTAGGTGTGTTGGAAACTGATTTGCATAATGGTTTTGTGACACGATGCCTAGCTTCATATATATTCTCTATATTTTTCTCTTTTTTCTCCAGTTTGCAACAATTATATCATGAAAGGAAATGTCTTAAGTTTAATCAATCTGTTAATTCCAGTTAGGCTTGCTGTTTGCCTTGTATTATCTGTATATTTGAAATTACAATTTTACCTTTTTTATTATATTGCACTTTGATTTTAAATAATAGCTTTTGCATTATACATTTGTTTTGCTGGGAGTCATTTAAGTGGTAAAAACTTTTGGCATGTATGCTGACCACCAGACTAGTGGGTTTGCAATTATATAATTATATGAAATAGTTTTTTTTCCAGTGCTGAAACAAACATAAACCAAGATGTTTATCAGAGTGTATACATACAACGTTTGATATGTCTGTTTTTCTTATTTATTTACTCTTATTTTCCCATT